GAACCAATATACACAACGAAACAGTCCTTGGGCAGCTGGTCACGAGTCACCTTGCCGGCATCGGCGTTCAGCAGGAAGAGCACCTTGGGCTGAGCCTGCAACACGGCCTGGATGCCTGGCTGGTAGCCCACATCGAAGGCGCCCACCTGGGAGGCGCTGTTATGCAACACATTGAAGGGGTTCCAGTCCTGTAACGAAAATCAATGGATGATAACTCTATCCATCGGAGGGCTTGACTGCTCGGATACTCACTGGCTTCTTCAGCTTCTTACAGTACTCGGAGATGGTGGCATGGATGGCAGCACCATCGGGACGCTCCAGCACGTCGACGCCAATGATGATGGCTGGCTTTTTGGCGCCCTCCAGCACCTTGGAGAATGCGTGCGAGCCATTGCAAACGTCCTTCACCAAGTTGGGATCGGCTCCCAGGTTGTTATGCTGGTAGGACAAATCAATTTTGGGTCCAATCGAGGCAATCTGCAGCTCGTTGTGCACGTAGGCCTTGCGCAGACGCGTGTTGACCAGAGGCGCCTCGTAGCGTGGATTGGTGCCGACCAGAAGCACAGCATCGGCCTGCTCCAGACCTAAAAGCAGAAGTCATATGAAAAGCTGGCCAGACACTGGGTACTCCCATGACGCCCACCTGCAATGGTGCTGTTGAGCAAGTAGCTCGAGCGCACCTCGATGCCGCTGCCTTTGATGAAGTCCTGCTCGGTGACCAGTAGCTCGCCGTCCAGCCGATTGACCAGATCCTTGAGCGCCACCATCGCCTCCACATCGGCCAGCTGGCCGGCGATGCCAGCAACCTGTCCCTTAGCCTTCTGCAAGGCCTTGGCCACAGCGATCAGGGCGCCCTCCCACTCGACGGCCTGCAGCTCGCCGTTGGGCATGCGCACCATGGGGGCCACAAGGCGCTGGCGCTTGAGGCCATCGCAAGCGAAGCGCGACTTGTCCGCCAGCCACTCCTCGTTGACGTCCTCGTTCTCGCGCGGCAGGATGCGCAGCACCTCGTTGGTGCGGGTGCTCACAACGATGTTGCTGCCAACGGCGTCCAGCACATCGATGCTGTCCACCTTGCGGATCTCCCAGGGACGGGCCACGAAGCTGTACGGCTTGTTGGTAAGCGCGCCGACGGGGCACAGATCAATCACGTTGCCCGAGAGCTCGGTGAGGAAGAGCTTCTCCACGTAGGTGCCGATCTGCATGTCATTGCCGCGTCCAGTCGTGCCCAGATCATCGACGCCAGCGATTTCCGAGGCGAAACGCACGCAGCGTGTGCAATGGATGCAGCGAGTCATCACTGTCTTGACCAGAGGTCCAATGTCTTTGTCCTCCACGGCACTGAGGCGATGAAATAAGGAATGAGTATTCAGCTTGATTTTTGTTTTCTTCTTTAAGAGCTTACCGCTTGCCCGTGTAGTTGATGTCCGTGAAACGTGAGCGATCAGAGCCAAAGGCCATGGCCTGGTCCTGCAGATCGCACTCGCCGCCCTGATCACAGATGGGACAATCGAGCGGATGATTCATTAGCAAGAACTCCATGACGCCCTCGCGCGCTTTGCGGGTCAAGTCGGAGTTGGTTTTGATGCGCCAGCCCTTCATCACGGGCATCGCGCAGGCAGCCACCGGCTTGGGGCTCTTCTCCACCTCAACGAGGCACATGCGACAATTGCCAGCAACGGCCAGGCGTTCGTGGTAGCAGAAGCGTGGAATCTCCACGCCAACCTCAGCAGCAGCCTGAGGATCAGAGGCAGAGAGAGGGAGAATTGGGAATAGCTATTTGTGGCTGCAGTTGCAGCGGCTCACCTGGAGTACTGTGGTGCCTGGCAGCACCATTACGGGTATATCATCGACGAAGACTTCGATTTTCTCGGGCGCCTTGGCCGGTGTCTGAGCCAATACGGCGCTGGTGCGCACGGCTCGGCTAGCGATTTGGTGTGTGGGAGAGCCGAGGGCGCCCAGCGCCTTCACGAGCGGTGCACGTATCATATTTTCTGCAACAAATCAATACACAACACAACATTCAATTTATGGGCAATTACATAAGTTGCAAGCAGGCCGAGCACCGACTTTTAGCCAAATATTACTTTCTGGCTGCCTGTCACTGATTGCCAATTGCCGACGCTCTTGCAAATTCAGCTCACTCTTCTAGTTAGGGCTTAAACAAAACTTACCGATATGCTGGAAAATATTTAGCAGCGCTGCTGAAATTTTTAATGCCGAGCAGACAACTTTTTTTTATCGTTTTTGACAGTCGCACTGTAACAGTGCGGACAGAGTTGCCACCCAATTGTTTGACAGCTGACTTAATGCGCGGCGCATTTGAAAGCAAAAATTTGGTATGCTGCTCACAGATGATGTTGTTCTTGCAACATTGTTCAAGAAAGTACTGATATTAGCCATATTAGAAATCAACATCAAAAAGAACTTATTTCTTCTTTTCAATGCATTGATATTAATTATTTAGAGAATTATAAAAACATCTTAGTTTTTTTTTTTGTTCAAAAGGAAACATTAAATCATGAAATATTTACATCTTAAAAATGATTGGTTGTAAGTTGGCTAGCTAAACGTTTATTATGTAAATTTAATATTATGGAATACAAAATATTTGTTTATAAGTACACTGAATATTGCAAAGTTTTTGTCGTTGTATCACTAAGCCTATATTATATATTTAGTGTTTGCATATTAAATTACGCATTATTATTTAATTGGTGCACCCCTGGTCACGGTGTGCACAGCTGTTCGCAGTTTGTTTACTTCTTCAAGGCAAATTGCCATTCACAGGTGGACGTAAAAACATGTTTGATTTTCAATTGCAGATTCAAATTTTAATTTCAAATAAGGAGTGCGCAGCATGCAACTAAGTCAGCAGCGCAGCTAGCATAAAAATGGGCAATAGGCCATGCTACCTGGACACACAATGTGGCACAATGCATTCAACTGCAAAATGTGAGCGGCGCTTAACAATGTTGGCGCCACACAACATACTACGTATGCACATACATATATGTATATATATATGTATATACATATGTATTTATATTTATGTATGTACATATGTACATGTATACATAGATGAACGCATGTGGCGTCACATTGATGAGCCGGCGGCGCCACAAGTGAGATTTGTTGATTAAAGATCTGACATGAGAGTCACGCGAAAAAAAAAACACACACACATACGCATACAAGCACACAGATAGCAAGGATGATGATGATGCTTGGGAGTTAGCCATATGTGCACGTATGTATGCATGTGTGTGTGTGGTTGTTTTGTTGTGTTGGTGCCAACGCACGATTTGTGGCTAGTCTGGCGTCTACTGCCTGGTAATCAGATAAAAATATATTATGACGTACCAGACCGACTTTTCATTGTTAATTGAGCGGCGTTGGCGGCAAAAAAAAATAAAAACCTTTCTGGCCAAGTCGCGGCCCGGCTCAGCCCGGCCCTGAATGAATCGAGATTGAGACGTGCTTGATATCTGTTGGCATCGCCATCGAGAGATCTCTCGGCGGCGACGGCGGCGGCGTTGGCGATGCTGCGCGACGCGTCTTGAAGCTGGCGTCTGCTGGCTGTCGCGCCTCTCCGTGAATTGCGCTTATCTTGTATCTTTGTTTTCGTATACATACATACATGTTGTTGTTGTTGCTGCTGCTGTTATTGCTGCTGTTGCTCCCGCTGCAGACGTGTCGCCACAATTTGCCGCCGCTTGGCGCCTAAAAATCAAACGGGGCGCCACACAACAAATTTTTAAAAATAACGTGCAACGACGTTGATGTCGACGTCGACGCTGACGCTGACGTCGAAGCCGACTAATAATGTGATTTGTTCTGCTCGTGGCTATTTTTGCGCGCCACAGCGCATTGTTAATGATCCTCTTCAGCGCACATCCCGTCTGCCTTCTTCTTCTTCTTTCTCTTTTTTACAATGTGATAATTTTAAACAATTTACTCCCCTTTTTGCGCCGACGCCGGCGGCAATGCTGTGCTGCACAATTTAACGGTGTCGTCCTTGACTACGCCGCGACGGCGCCGCCTCGGCGTCGCTCCGTGGCAGTTTCTGGAACTGGAGCGAGATAAGGCAACAATTTCTGCGCATCATAAAGAACTAAAAAAAGAAGAAAAAAGAGATATGCATGATATGATTATAATTACATACATACAATGTACATATGTATGTATGTATGTGAGTGTGTATGCTGCTTCGTCGATAGCGCCACGCATTGCAACAACAACAAAAGCTTCAAGCAGAGTCGCCTGATGACAATGCTGATAATGGGCCACAGCGGCAGGGTCACTGCCAGCAGCGACGTCGACGTCGACGACGACAGCAACAGCAACAGCTACAGCGACTGCACTTACATTTCCTTTTGGTGGGGTGTTCGCTGGGGGTCACATGCAGCTGGCGCGGCATCTAGACGCCGACGCTAGCGCCGCTGACTCCATTGAGTGAGAGCTCGCGCCGCGTCGCGTCGCGTCGCTGCCGTCAGCAAAATTCATTGCGGGAGCTGCGCTGCGCTGATGTCGACGCTGCCAACCGAACACTCACTCGCACGTTCGTTCGTTCGTCTGTTCGTTCGTTCGCTCGTGCGTTGGTTTAGCTTGATCGTGCGCTAGCTGTGGTTCGGCTTATTGGGCTACGGCTGTGACTCTGTCTGGGCTCCCCAATCTTTCCTTTGAATAAAACGAGTGGCCGCTTGCAATTTTCACTTAGTTTGAGTCTGAACGGCGACTGCGCCGGCGTGTCCGTGTGTGTGCGCGTGTGTGTGTGTGTGAGAGTGTGTATTAGTGTATGCACAAGCACTCGCAATCGAATCGCTTCGCATCGTATTGAAATTGAAATTGAAATTGAAATTGACATCGATAAAAAAAAAAAAAAAAAAAAACCAAAACAAAAACAAATCGCGCGCCAAACGCCTTTTGTTTTGTCGTTTTCTTCTTTGAATTTGTTGTTCATTTCTTTTGATTGTTTTGCGTTTTAATGGGTTTTTTCGTAAATTAATTTGAGCTCGTGCAATTTTGGTTTCACATTGTTTTTGTTTCACGCCTTTTTTTTTGTGAGCAGCGCGTGTGGCGCATGCGTAGCAACAATAATAATAATAATAAAACGACAATCACAATAACAACAGAAGCAGCAACAACAATMGAATTAATAAAGTGACGAAAACTAATTCAATATTGAAAATCGGTTAGTCATCGCCGGCGCAAACATATTTATCACACTTCTTCTTCTTCTTCTTGTTTTTTTTTTCGAAATTTTTGTTTACTTTTTTTTATTTTTTATTTTTTGTTTGTGTGCTGCGAATCAGACGACCCAAATCGCCGTTGCTCCCCGCAGTATTTACCTGACATCATCATCAGCATCAGCATTATCATCATGATTACAATCAGCAAGAACGTCGGCATTTGCGGTTGACATCTTTGCGGGCTTCATTCAGAGGAAAAAATTAAAGTAATAAAATAAATAAATAAACACAAATATATAATAGAGAAAAGAAACAACAATAATCTTAGGGTGAGTATCGTATACAGAATGTGCTCCAAATGCACTCATATAACCATTAGTTCCATTCATTACTTATATATACACATATGCAAAACAGATTTAAAGAAATCGCATTGCATAATAAATAAAACTGTTATAGCTGAGACTGCTCGACTGCGAGATCCCCTGAACCATTAGTTGTTGAATAACTTTTTTGGTAATCAAACTTTCAGAATGTGATAATTATATTTGCCCAGCCACAAGTCTCTAATAATTTAAATAAGTTTTTTTCCGCAAATATGATAGGAAAGGGGTGGAAATCATATGAAATAATTTATTTGGAGAGTCTACCAGTAAAAATTAACGAAATATAATTGAATAACTGTTTTTTGATAAGATTTATAATTCATAAAATTTTATATACAGGGAGTCTAGTTCTTAAAGGCTCTGAGATCGACGCGTTCACTCATACGAGCAGACGGACAGGTCCATGTTTAGTCAGCTCGTCGCACTGATCAAGAAAATATATATTTTACGCCATTTTTAACAAAACCAATATACCCTGCCTTCCATTTTCTTAGCTTAGCTTATCTCATCTAGTTTTCTATTTGCTATAGAAAAAAAATATGTTTGATAGATAATAATTTATATACATAGTACATAGTATATATATATGTTTACAAATATAAATATTTTTAAAACTTCGCTACCTAAATAATCTCGGAATTCTCGGAAACGATCGCTTAAAAGGTGTGCTATAAATTTAAAGATTGCTAA